TATTCTGGCTGGGGACCCTGGTACCTTTCAGGCGCGGTTCTTCCTGAGGTTGTACCACAGCTGCAATATGTCCTTGTTTCCCGCACGCCCGGCAGATAGCGGAGCGGAACTTGCAGTCGGTTCTCCTGTGGCGACCTCCACAGCCGATGCACTTGAGGGGAGCTGCAGAGCTTCCTTTCTGATTCCCTTCCTTCGTGGGGTGGAGACGGTCGACTTCCTCGTCCGGATCCTCCTCGGAGTTCCCTTGGACGTCCTCTTGGTGCACGGATGCAACATCTGGACTGTTCCTGATCGGCCGCATGTTTTTGACGGCGCCGCCTGCTGCTTCTTCTGCGGTGACCTCTCTTAAGGCATCTTGGAAGGACAAGTCTTCTTTGGCGAAAAGCCTCTGTTGTAGATCTCGATGCCTTAAGCCGCACACGAATCGGTCCCTCAGTCGTTCTTCGAGGTCCTTGAACTCGCAGTGCTTGGCGGCCTTCCTCAATGCGGCGATGTATTCTTTGGCCGACTCTCCGGATCGTTGATCCCTCTGCTCGAAGGTGTGGCGCCATGCGATGACGGACATCTTGGGCTGGAAGTGCTCCTTCAATAGCTTCTTTAGATCTGCGTAGCTGACAGACTCTAATGGGACAGGTGCTGCAAGGTTCTCTGCGATTTCAAAGGCGTCTTGACCGCAGACACAAAGCAGGGTGGCAGCCTTCAAGCTATCTTCCCTCACTTGGTTCAACTTGAGGTAGTTTTCCACCCTGGCTACGTAGGACTCCCACCGCTCTGGATGTGAGACGTCGAATTCTGAAAGCCTTCCAACCTTTGCCATTTTCAGGAGACCGGTGTATCAGCCAGCCTACCCCCGAATGCGCACTGGATTGGCGGGTAGCTGCCGAGTCAATGCCGTTCCGCCGCTCAGGACTCACTTGGGTAAGCTTACACCTCTTCCTTTCCAGGCGATGTAAGGCATCCCACCCTCGTCGCCAGTGTTGAGTCCTTGGCGAAAAGCAGACACGAGAAGCAGTTGTAGTTCTCAGGTTTTCTTTTATTCTGTGTTCAGCTTACAGGTGAAGGCTTCAGCAATGCCCAAAAGCTCCCAGCCTCTTATATAGGCAATTCCCGGGTCAATGTGTTACTTTTCCCGCGCCAGCACCCGCGCATGCGCACAGGCGCTGGCGACAGCCTGTCTGGTCCCGGGCAGCTTGCACCTGCCCGGGACTGCCTGCAAACGCCCCGAGCCCGTTTGCAAGGCTCGGGACATAACATATACCACTTTGTAGTGCTTTACAGCCCTCTCTTATAGAGTCAGTATATTGCCTCCAACAATCTGGGTCCTCATTTTACCGACCTTGGAGGGATGGAAAGCTGAGTCAACCTTGAGCCAGTGAGAATCAAACTGCTGGCAGCTAGGAGTCAGCAGAAGTAGCTTGCAGTACTGCATTCTAACCACTGTATTACTATGGCTACTTCAGTCCAGTTTCCTGTCATGAAAGCCACTCTGCAGCAAATGCCACTCCAGAATAATCAAATCCAGCACTTTTATTCTGGATGCCCTTTTATTTCAGTGTGTAATTAGAGTGAACCACAAATAAAGAAAGTCTCCAAAGTCTGAAAACTAGCAGGATCCATCAGCCGTTCACCTCTTGTGTCCAGCTGCATCAACAACATCTATCATATGGTTTCTAGGGATAGTTTTTTTTATGCCAGCAGAGTCTCATGGTTGACAGCAGCTACCCCCTCCTCATTTAGGGAGTGTCCTGCCCTAGGAATCCAATAAAAAACTGAGAAAAGTTTGATCTGACAAGATTTGTTTCTTGACACAGCCATGCTGATTTCTCAAGTTTATCATATTTTTTACACTGTTCACAAATGTATCTTTTTATAATCTGCTTTAGAAGATCCAACTCATCTTCCACATGAGATATTTGTAGACATTTCCTTTCCCCTTTCTCCTTGTCTACTACAATGAATTCAAATGAATGTTTGGGCTAAATGTGACAGGAATCAAGATAACTACTTGTGACAAGAGTGAAGGCAACCAACTACAAAAATCATAAAATAAGCAAGCTCTGTAGTGGAATTATTTTTCATTTGCAGTGTTTCTGTTTAAAGCTATGGACTTGGAAGGAACTCCTTTCCACTTCCCTAACAAGATGGTATACACTTTTATTTAGAAAATCAGGAAGAAAGTGGCATCTTGTATTCTACACAACATCTCATTTGTAGCATTCTAAAGTAAAATTCATTAAAGTTACTCTGCTGTATGAGATACAGAATAATACTGGTCAATGGCAAAATAATCTAAGTACTGATGAAATGAATGATTAAAATAGTGATTCAGAAACATAATGAAGAATAGTTCCATCTTTCCTTTAAAAACACTATTTATAAAGTATGAAATATTAATGGCACAGTGGGAGAGAGCAACACAAAACCTAAATTTGATTTGATTTCATTTACATTTAAGTGTAACTAAAATAACTAACTAACTTGATTGTTTTCCAGGTAAATATTATATGATTTATCTCTACTGTCTTACTGCTATGTACTGTATGATGGTAGTTTTTGAAGGATCTCATCTAAAACTTTCAGCGATTAAATGAAGTGTTTGAGCCTTGGGCTATACACTCCTGCAGTAGATAATTGGCATTTGCAAATTTATACCAGAGTCAACTTCTTTATGTTTATTGGTCTGGAAAGGAATTTGTCCTGTTAATTTGTGGGCAGCAAGGAAGAAAAATGACGAAACACAAAAATATTGCACTGGCGTAGCTGGAAAGTAGTAGCATTTATTTTATAATGTCTGCTTATTCTGTGCAATGTATCACTGTAAACTGTTTAGTGATTTTCCCCTGGGACCTGTGATACATGATCAGAAGAACATCATCAGCTCATAGAAACAAGGGCACAGCTGCTTGCCCTTTGTTATACCCTGACAGCTGTAAAGCCATAACAATACATCTGTTGAAAGATAATTGAAACCAGAAGCAATATTTGAGTCTTTGCCAACCTTTTTGTGCTTGGATTTGTATATGAATCTTAAATCATTATAAGCATGCTCATATACAGGCTACTTAGAATGCACCTTAAAAGATTCATTGCAGTATTTCAAATTGCTAACAGGCTGTAAAAATGCACAAGGTCAGGGAAGTAGAAGATGAAAGACTGAACAACATTATAAAAATAATGTGCAGCTGTATTTAAATAAGTGACATTAACAGCACGCGCACACACACACACACACACACACACACACACACACACACACACATTCCAAGTTCTCTTGTCCATGTATGGATTGTCCCATACATGGACGAGGCAAGAGAATTTGGAATTGATATGGTGTAGAATAAATGTAATGGTGTCAAGTGACAGCAACATCAGGAAGGAGTATGAGAAACTGGAGACATATCTGAAGGAGGAACTTGAGATGATGGGGCCAAGGTTGTACGAGCACTTGGAATTGTGACATCTAAACTGGAAGAGGGCTCCAGGAACAGCATCAGAGCTCTCTGTCAAGAAGAGTGCAGTGCTAACAACAGCTAAGATACTGTGCAGATACTCCCAGTCCTCTGGTAGAGGATGCAAAATTTAGGAAGATATATGCCGTAAGGATGAAAAGGGAATTTTTATATGTTTATGTAGCAGTTGGGCCCACTGAATTCAAGGAAACCTGATCCCTGGTGAATAAATGCAACAATGTAAGGCAGTCCTTATCAGTGAGTAAAACTATTGTTCTTAAACATATATAGGACTCTACTGCAAATAGCATTTTTTTGGGGGGACATGGCTTTAGATAGAAGACATTCTGCAAAATATTGTGCTGATAGCTAGCTCGTCTTCTATCAAAAATGAAAATTATCACAAAAAGGGGGAATTTCCATTGCAGGTTAATACATCTTAATATTTAGCTATAAATAAAATGAATATATTGATAATTGAAAATTTGTATCTTATTATGTATTCATGAGCAAAAACCTTTTTGTCAAAAATATGTGTTAAAACAGTCAACAACTTACTCTGATAATTCATTATTTTTTTGTAATAATTTAATTAAAGTTTACAAATACAAAGACAAAAAACTAATACAAAACAGAAATGCAAAGAAAAAGAAAAAATAAAGAAAAAAGATATAGAAAGAAATGACTAACTCCTCCCTCAAGATAAGTACAAACAACTTCAGTAACTTTTCACCTTCTCTGATATTCCAAAATATCTTAAAAATTCTTATTTTTTATCAATAAACAAATTGTAAATTTTCTTCAGTCCTATCATAAAATCAGTTAAATTGTCAGAAATAATAACATATATATATTGACCTTAAATAAATCAGACTTATATTGCTTTACTTTAAACACAGTAATTTATCACTTTCTCTAAAAATGTAGCAACAAAACCTTCTTCCCATATCTTATACATTATCTACAAACAACTCTTCAAAGCCTCTACAATTAGTTAAAAAAAAGTTTAAAAAATGAGTTTAAAAAAGTCCATTAAGACTTACCAAAAACAATTAATATATTTTAACTTCAATAAAATGAATCTACTTTATATTGCGTCTGTTTACTTTTAAAAAGCTTGATCTTTAATATTCTTTAATAATCACCCTGGGCAGCTTACATTTTAAAAAATAGAAAAAAAAAAATAAAAAATACCAAGACAAATCACACTTCATATGCCACAAAACACAACCAATAGCATCTACTGCAAAGTTTGGAAGTATGATCAATTTTTAACAAAACCCTGAAATACCAAACAGATGAGGGCAATGCAGATTTGATATGCTAAATATCTCTGAGTGCTGACAGCACAGTATGAACATATTGTGAACATTCATATTGAGGTGAGTTAGCCAATGGTCTTGCTTAAATATTGAAAATAATGTGGATTGGGAACAATGGAAATGATAAAGTGTAGTTTCACTTTTGAGATATGTTTGCATATCTAAATGTGTTCTTGTGATTGTTGTTGTTGCCATCATCATGGTCATCATCATCATCTTACCACCTTAGGAGGCAATGCGGACATCCCTTACAGGGAGTGGTACAAACCCTTGGTATGGTTCTGGATTCTTGTGGGCCTTGCATATTTTGCTGCTGTCCTCAGTATGATTGGAGACTGGCTGCGGGTTCTTTCAAAGAAGACTAAAGAGGAGGTAACTATTGACAAGTAGCTTATATTGCAGGATTTTTTGTGTCATGTTATGACTGCTTTCCATTTGAAGTTTACTCCAACAGTACTCAATACAACATATAACAAATTTGGGGAAAATATCCAATATCATAAAAAATATCTTAAAAAAGAAAATAAAACAGAGACAAGCCAAAGAAATTTAAAAACAACATTAAAACAATTATATATGTATCAAAACTTTATCAAGAAGATTATGGACTGAGTGTCAAATTTAACTTTGAATGGCATGCTAAAGGCTGCACTCAGAATCTGTCATTTATTGGGTACGAAAATTCTAATTGAATTCAGTTAAATTAGAAATTCATCTATTTCATCTCATGAAAAATTGATACATTGGAGTATCAGCTTTTTTTAAAAAATAATAATTTAAATTATAAATAATTTAAAAAGCAACCAACTAATCATGAAACTATAACTCTCAAGCAGCTAGTAAGTAATGGTATATTTAAATTTTTGAGATTTTATAAAAGGACTATAATTCATAAAGAAAGGCTGAATGGGAATATTTAGAGGGGGAAAAATTGTAATTATTCATTGTTTTATTCTCATGCCCTTGCAGACTCTGAAGCTTCGGGAGAATTGTATCTCTAAGAGATTATCTTTGTTGAATCAAAACCTATTATTCTTAATTACCAACATTAAAAAAAATCAAAAACTAAATTTGAAAAATATAAAAAAAATTTGGAATAGAGAACTGAATATTGTCCAATCAATGGCTTCAGGTTTTGAGGAGTGTTATATTTGTTATGACCTAAAATGCAGCAAAAATTCTCTTTAGAATCTCTTGAAGACCACAGAAAATCTTCGTAAAACAATTGGCTCTGATCGTTTTTTATGTTAGTGATGTAATAAAATTCAAGGTCCATGTGTTATGGATTTGCAATTCTTTGTTGGCTATTATTACTATGGTGAACCAAATTCTTTTAAGGCAGTTAAAGATTAAAACTGTTAATATTTTGTTAAATTTTACTTTATAATTCTGATTTCAGTCTAAAAATATTAGCATATATTGTGCTTGCACTATTGTGAAAAAGTGATTAATCAATTCTTAGACTTTCAATCAGATTTGTACCAAAGGAGAGTCAAGGTGGACAATCTAATTCTGTATGGCCTATATTTAACTGAATCATAATAAATACAAATACATATACACGTCTCTGTGTGTGTGTGTGTGTATGTATATGAGTGTGAATGAATAGTAGCAGCCCAAATCAACCCTAGATGTTTGTTGACATCCCAGTCTAAAGCTGAGATAAACTGATAGGCTCAAAGTCAGCTTCTGTCACTAAGAGATTAGAATCTGGGTCTAACTATCCAGATAGAAGTATGATGAAGTTTTTAATTTAATTTTTATTTTTTTTATTTCCTTCATTACTTTTGCTATTAATGTAATATGGAAATATTTCTTTATTATATAGGAAATTAATCTGTTTTTAGAAAGCTGAATAACAAACAAATAAAAATAGCCATCCATTAAAAATCAAATAACATTTGATTCTGCTAATTGTTCATTAATTCAATCTACAATTGGGCGAGCAATTGTTTGCTTATTTACTTAATCATTTTATATAACTGTCAACTTGCAACTCTGAGCAACTAATATAGGATTAAAATGAAAAATAATCAACAGGACAAAAATGGCAGAGTATATAATACAACCAAAGTCAACACAATAATAGTCTCAATCAATACACAAGAGGCTCATCTGACAGGCTGGCCCAGTGCCTGGGAAAAGGTCCATGAAACGTCAATGGGTTGCAGCAATCCAAATCTCAGGAGTTAATGCTTTTCATAAACATCTGTTTAATTCTGAATTTATTCTGAATCTTCCTCTGTTATTTTTGGTTTTCTGTGACAGGTTGGTGAAATAAAGGCCCATGCAGCGGAATGGAAAGCCAATGTGACAGCAGAGTTCAGGGAAACACGGCGGCGGTTGAGTGTGGAGATACATGACAAACTTCAGAGGGCGGCCACCATTCGGAGCATGGAGCGCAGGCGTTTAGGTCTGGACCAGAGAGCCCACTCCCTCGATATGCTGTCTCCAGAGAAACGTTGTGTCTTTGCTGCCTTGGGCAACAGCCATTTCAAGGCATCATCTCAGGAAAGCATCAACAACAAGCCTAACAATCTGCGCCTTAAAGGATCAGAGCAATTGAGCAAACATGGGCAGGGGGCGTCTGAGGACAATATCATCAACAAGTTTGGTTCTTCATCCAAGCTGACCAAAAGGAAAAACAAAGACCTGAAAAAAAGTATCCCGGAAGATGTGAGAAAAATCTACGAGACCTTACGGCACTACTCCTTAGATGAGGAGGAGAAGAAGGAGGAAGAGGAGGAGGACTTGGAGAAGGTGTGTCACTCAGCACACTCTAGTACTGCCATTCTTACCAATTGTATTGAGCAACACATGGACCTGGAGAATGGCATACTCCCCACTGAAACCAAAGAAAGGGAACATGAAAATAAATCATTACTTGAAGACAGGAATTAAATGTAGACCATTTTTTGACTCTAATGAGCCAGTGTTAGTCTTTTATATATGTACATGATCTATAAGTGTATGTATCAAGACACGTGCCTTATACAGACCTAGTTCAGTCTAAATTGCATAGCATCCTAGAATATTTCACTGTGCCATAATGACCGAAGCTTGCTCTGCCAAAAGAAATCACAGATAATACACTGGAGAATGGCATCTGAAGGTGGAGTATTGACAGTGTCAGCCTACACTGTATGCTTACAAGGGGGGGAAATTCCAAAGGAAGATGGTAATGCAACTGGAAAGGTGAACAGCATGATAGGAATGCATGAGAGCAAAGGCAGACGCATTAGAAGATCATTTGGGAAAGGAAGCAATGGAGCTGGCATGAGTCTTTCCAGTGGATTGCAAGTTTCTTCTCTCACTGTTGAATACTTTTGATTGAAAAGTAAAATAAGAGGCTGAACTGTCAATTTTAAGGCAGCGTTTCTGTTTTGGCATAGGATCCAAGTATGAGTGTTCCCTCATTTTATGTTTTGAAAAATCAATGAGCCTTCAGTGATCCCTGCTCCCCAAATTAAAAGGTTTTTATGCACAAGAAAAGTATCTAGATGCTGGGATGATATCAGTAAAGACAACAATATGCCTTTTTCAGAAACAAGAAAAGAAAACGTAAAAACAGCTCATTGTGAATATTTGTCATGAAAAATGAAAAAAAATGTAAAGGGAAAAATGATGAAAAATGTCTGCCTTTGGAAGAAATTCATCTTATAAACTAATACTATGCTGGGGGAAAAAACTTCAAAATTTGAATAACTGCGGAGTTTTAGGAAGGAAAAATATAATCTTGTGCTTGGGTCAATAACCAGTGAAGTTCTTTTTTTTTAAAAAAAAAAATGTGATCATACTTTCTATCCCTGAAGGAGCTTCAGTTTTAATATTCTAATACGCTAAAAATAGAAAGTGAAATCTTGCATGATGTCAACAGTTTGCTATTCTCTGTAGCAGAAATTCATTAAAAAAGATATGTCATATACAATGTATAGTAAAGGGTGGGCCAACTTCCAAACCTCAGGGCTTTGTGTCCCTATTGGTGGTTAAGCTTAAGGTAAGAGAAAGACAGCTGTCCAAATTTCCAGGATAGTAAGAAGGAAACTGGTGGTAATGTTTTTTAAGTGCTTAGAGCTTTAAGTGCGATTAATAACTTCATATTGTGAAGTCTTTAATCACTTATTTTTTAAATACCTTCCTTTAAAGTTTAAGTTTTTTTTCTTATTTGATCCTTCTCTCCACAGAAACTGAGCAAATTCACTTTTAGTGTTATACCAAATAAGAAAACGCTATCACCTACGTGTTTGTTGTTCTTTCCATGAATAAATGCGGAAAGCACAAATCGTTTCAGATTTCAAAGCAGATGTTAAATGAAAACATAGGAGAGAGTTAATTAGTTAGAATTATAATGATTGGATCCCTCTCTCTCTGAATGGTTGTGTGTCTATGTGAGATGAGGAAAGAGAAAAAGAAATTAGTTCTTGGTGAATGAGTGAATGGAAATTTGCTTGGAATACATATGCAGATTGACATACATTAGCATCCTTCAGATACCATTCAGAGAACATCTGTAAATACTATAGAGTTCCCCAAATACTATTTGTAATGTTTTTAAAGGATGCCAAAGCCATTGCTGCATTTTTTAATTTTCCTGCTTTCATATAATCAACCCAACATAATTTATGGAAAGTGTATTTGTAATGCTGCCATTTGAAGCATCTCAGTTGTTTGCACCAGTCTATAGTTAAAGAAATCTTTAACTCCTTCTTTCTTTGCTATTCCTGTCTAATCCATAAAACCATGAAGATGTAGACCCGGGATCAAATCCTTGTTCAACTACAGAGCTTACTGATTGCCTTGGAAGTTTCTAAGTTTGCACAATGATTATCAGAAAAATAAAAGATGAACTGAGAGAGACACATATGTACCATCTTGATTATCTTGGGGTAAAGATGTGACAGAAAACACTTTTTTAATGTATTGTCCACTTGACAGGTTAAATAAAAGTCCCATTCCCTCAAGCTAAAATTAACTTTCAGTATGTAGGTATTGGACATTGTGTTCCATGATACCAAAGGTTGCAGGTTAAGGAAACCTGCAGCTAATAAATAATGGAAGAGAACTTCCACCATCAATTCCCCCAAAGAAGGCTCATGCTGTTCTGCATCTTTGTTCGCAGCGAGATAGAAAACTTGGAGCAAAGAAGAGAATTGTAAGAAAACCACAATGCTGCTAACGGGAGCTACATCACAAATAATTTAAATTCCACTTTGTGTAAATCTTAATCTGATAATCATAGGTGTCAAAGAATTCTATGCAGCAATGTGTGCAGGAAAATGGAGAAGAGATGGAATATAATGTCCTCTGTTCCAGGTATGGAAAATAATGAATTTAGGATACAGCTGAAGACTGTAGGATAAATGGTCTTCTGTTCCCAGCAGCTACTAACATTTGGCAGTTTATTATATAATCCAGAAGCCCAGTTAGTCCAATATACAGTTTCTGCCTTTACAAACTAGATGCTTAATAGGCATCTGAAAAGTAGGACGTGAGAACCATCAAATTCTATAGCTTGTATTTGCCATGGAAGGTTTTTAAAATTTTTACCGTCATAATCTTAATTTGGATGAAAATCTTTCCCACATACACAGACATGTACACAAGCTAGATTTACCTTAGGTGAGAATTTAGTCCAGGTGCCATGATATATGAAAATGGATTGACATACTTGTGTTCACCACAGTGCACTGTGGCTTTCAGTTTAAAGGAATACACGAAACAGATTCATATTTCTGTTGAGTGAAGAAGTTGCAATGTACCACATAGGAGACACTTGGGACTAGATACAGAAACCTTTGTGGCCAGAATGGGACGATTGGCTGTTAGATTGACATTTTTTGGACAAGCAGCCTGAAGCCAGGTGGTTCAGAATGTGACAGATAAAAGGAGAGTGATGCTGTATAAAGTCATATATTAAAAATGCAGAGTGATGTCACTTCCGATGCATACTTTTTTTTAAAAAAAGGCAACCCTTCTTTACAATACTTGAAATCTGTGGATTTAGAGAACCAAGATAGCTGCTAATGCTGTCCAGTGTTCTGCATAAGCAGAGACTGGGAATTAGTTTAACATGCAATTTTTTATGGTAGCCTTGAAAGGAGAGTACAGACTAATCTAATTTGCTCATATGAATCTGATGTTTTAATTTTAAATGCCTGATCTTTCAAACTTTCAGTCTTGGAACATGTAACATTTTAGGAAAATAAAGTTAAAGACTTGGTTAAATTCAACGTGACTTCTGGTGGTTTCATGAACAGGGCAGAAGCTTTTTTTTTTTTAGTAATATTATGCTTCTGGGATGTATTGTTGTTTACCAGTCTGGTGTACAGCCCTGTGGTATCCTGGAATTTGCAGCATGAAATACCAGTGTTGCTTATATTTTAAAGAAAGTGAGCATCATTTTCACACACTATATAGAAAGGTCTCCCCCCCATATGCCAGGATAAGATTGTTTGAATAAGATTGCTATACATGTAACACACACTCTGCCATATATCAGTGATATCTCTCTGTCTTTCCCTTTAAGAGAAAATGAATGATGCCTAACAAAATATGCAATCCATATAGTATATACCAGCCTTCAGCAAGATCAATGAGAAAATTTATGTTCCCACGTACTGTGTTTCTCCGAAAATAAGACTGGTTCTTATATATTTTTTGGACCAGAAGACCCATTAGGGATTATTTTCAGGGGATGTCTTATTTTGCGGCTGCCAGTCCGCTCTCTCCCACCATCATGCTTGCCCACAGCTGCAACAGCTTTCAGGACTTCCAAGGCCAGACACTTGGGAGGTGAGGGCAGGGCTGGTGGAATGTGACTTCAGGCGAGGAGAGTGGTGCAGACAGGCTCCCTCCACCTGCCACACTCTTTCCTTTTGCAAGCAGATGAAGCTTCAAATCTCTGTCAGTTCTCTGTCCAGGCAAAAAATGTTTGGGCGCCTATGGGATGCTTGGAAACGGAGTGAATTGCTCCATTTCCATGCTCCCCATTTTCAAGCAGATGAAGCTTCTAGTCTCCCTCTAGGTGAAAATACATGGTGGAGCCAGGCAGAGGCAGAAGCATGGGGGGGGGAACACAAGAAATCCGGGCGTGATCTGTGGCTGACTGGCTTGCAGGAGGCTCACATGGGAGGCTCATGCAGCAGCACCAGCAGCAGGCAGAAGCAGAGGCATGGAGGGGAGGCAGGTGATCCTGATGCGCCACCCACTCTGTCCCACCATCTCTCGGTTTGCCCGCATCTGTGCCAGGGCAGTCGGCCCCATGGCGCATCGGGATCACCTTCCTCTCCCTGCTGCTGATGCCGCTGCACAAGCCTGCTACGAGCCTCCTGTGAGCTAGGCGGCCATGCAGCACATCCAGATTGCCTTCCTCCTCACCACCTCTGAATCCACGCTCAGACTTACCTGTGCTGTGCCAAGGGACTGGCAGGTTGTGGTTGCTGCCGGACACCAGCAGCTCCCATGCGCTTTCCATCTCTTGATGCTGGCTATGCCTACCCCCCAACGCTTATTTTTGGGGTAGGACTTATATTAGGCCCACCCCAAAAAATCAGGCTAGGGCTTATTTTCTGGGTGGGTCTTATTTTCAGGGAAACACAATAGTAGGGGAAGAACATGGCATAGAAGTGAACTGCAGTATGTGGAACAAGGCAGATACAGGTACATGGTTCCTTTTGAAATATATTCCAGTGTTGATGTTTATATGCAACTTGACATACTTCTCTATGTTCATTATAATATCCATCCAAGCCCAACTGGATAAATTCATCTGTTGCAAATCTGGTGCAAAATGTTTTATTCCCTTAGATAAAGTAGTTGCTCCTGAATATTTTCCATGCACAGTTAATGCAATGATGTTCTTTACCATGCCACATGGGTATACTAATTTAGATGAACCCTTCTTCTTTCCAGTATAGAGGAATATCTGGATTTTAGAAGGAACAACCTGAACATTCTTCCTTAAAAGCTACTGAAGTTGTGTCATGCTTTTAATAATAGAACCACCCCTAATCAGAAACAATAGGTTAAATATGGAATGCTCATGACTGCTGTTAGCTAAGGATGATTGTTTGAATTTTAAGAGTGGATAAACCCTACTTCATAGCTGCAACTTTTGAAGATGAAGTTGCCATTGTTATTGTCATATTTATGACTTGAATGAGTGTTGATTTTTTTCCCCAAACCCCAAAGATTGAACTGATGTTCATCAGTCACATTTTACTGAATAAAGCAGAGATCTTGGTCTGGGGATTAATATTAGCTGAAGTTTTATCAAAGCGCAATAGTGGAGATGATTGAGTATATAAACAATCTCTTCCATGAACTATTACTAGCAACTGCTTTTTCTTTCAGAAAGACTTCTATGTTTTCTCTTATTTTGTATTTTTTTCTTATTTTTCTCCCATGATGCTTGGCAAAAAGCATTTTTAGAATAAAAAACATGGATTCTAAATACTAAATACACTTGTTAGCATCTCAGTGACTTCTGCTATTATCCTTTAAAAATAATTATAATGTAACATTTTCCAATAATGGATAAAGCTTTAACAAAGACTTTCTGGAAGATAATAATCTTGGTTTTCGTCTCTCAAATGTTTTCATAGTAAGTTCCCTTCTGTTTACCTTCTGAACTTTAATACCCATGTGTCATCAATATCACTAAAAGGTTGTGGCTTGGTGAACAGGAAATGATCCAGATATTGCAGCAATTCTCTGAGGAACAAAAGTAGAAGGGCATAAAATTAAGTGTGGCATGTAGGGGAAATGAATAGAAATATTGTTCTCTCTCATAATACAACCCAGGTAAGTAATGAAAAGGAACGTTTGGAGATGCAAAGCAGTACCCTCAGAAATTATGCTCTTTCTCAGCAAATGTTGCAGGAACATCAACTGAGGATGGTGGTCATAAAGTCACGACAGATACAATTTTAAGAAGCTCTGCCCCACCTTTACTCATTTTGCACATGTCATACCTCCATCTTTACTTTTTTGAACTTCCTTGTGGACACCCCTGCAAGGTAGCATTTTCACAAATGCAATCTGATGTTCATTAACACCAACTAAGCAGGCATAATCCGGTGACTTGATCCATACATGATATAGTTTGTTAGATGTAGGAAAAAGTTTTGAATCTTTTTAAAAGAGAAATCAGGAGAGGGCAGTGATGCTGGGTATTAAGAAGAGTATTAAATCTAACGTACCAGAAAATACTGGAAGACCAAATACTTCCATAAAAGCCTGGATACTAATATCTGTTTACAAATGTAGATTAGATATGATCATTAATGTAAATTAGGAATAAACTATCAAACTCATTCATGGTCAAAATGCTGAGAGTGATTTTTGGATGGTGAAAGAGATTAAAATGTGAGTAAAGAAAAAAAGTTGTACAAATATACATACATGCTAATAGGGAACAAAATTACTGGCTACTAAAAGGAAAAATCAGAATAGTTCCATCAGTGAGATGGGCAGTCTCCAACTGTAATAAGTTTATCAATAAAATGCATAATAAAACTAGATAAATAAAAATCAATAGGGTCAGATCTGTTCACAGAGCTTTTTAAAATCCACAACAACTGAAGTTTAACCATAATGCCTTCTAAAATGTACAAAAAAGTCCACCAACTCTAGCAGCTTTTAGTTGTAGAGGTCAATTTCCATGGGGTTTTTAAGAATCAAATACTGCAGATTGCATAGGAAATGCCTGGGCATATTATGGCCATGACCAGATTCCCATTAAAATTGCACAAATTATGAAAGAAAGCCACTCACTGTACATAAATTGACTGACCTCTCTGACGGACTGTATAAATAAAGTCACATGATAAATTTCCAAATTTGTGGAGGAGCAAATTAAAATAGGAACTTGCAAATTGCATCTGTATTTGGTTTAAACTTTTCTTACTGAGTAAGTAATAGGACCTAAAAATACTTTTCTTTGGCTAGATTGCTTGGGCTGAAAATTTCAATTTGTGGTGATGATTGATGGGTTTTAGGACATAACATAGGAAAAGAAAGTCTGTGACTCCATCTTGTTATCCATAAGGAAAGAGAATGACGTGGGTCTGAACAGCAATTTGCCACAATTTCCTGTTATTTTCATAAGGTTTTCTTTAAGTCATCTCATCACAGCAGGGAAACAACAAGAGAAAGACGTTGCCATTAATAATGCAGTATGTTTCATGCCTGGGTTTTAACGTGACCTGATTTGCTACTATAAGCACTCATCAATACTATAGTCTTTTCCTCTGTAGCTTAAGCTGCTGAAGAAAAATGATCTATAATCTCTCCTCTCCCATACTTTTATTTGGTTCTTATTTAACTTCTTCAATTAGTCAATGTCTACATAGCTCTTTAGTGCTCAACTAAATGAATAATACCTTGTTATTACAATGTAAATATTTTAACCAATCCCTTTGAAAAATGATATCAGACACCTACAATGGTTCAGATCAGCAGTTTTTCTAGAACAATACCACTTATTCAGAATGATAGTTACTATTTTATGTCTCAGGTAAAAATATTTCTGGGCTTCTGTGTCAAAATATTCAAATTATGGATAGTAGTGTTACCTAATTGATAACATATATATTAGCAATGGAAATTCTAAGTACTAACTGTGATTGTAATTTGAACACTACTTCTAGGCTGAACTCAAGATAAAGATGTAGGAAGTGGAAGTAAAAGTAAGAGATTTAAATGTTATTGACATTTAAATTAAGATAGATAAACATAGTAAAATATTCCAATAGAACATTTATAGCTAAGGGTTGAACTGGGAATTCTTAGTACTCTCTGAGCTTAGTTTTACCTTTCCAGATATCTGACTATGTAACAGCATCAGTGCACATGAGTGTGGAGTTTACTTCCTGTTTACATACAGTAGCTTGCCCTGTTTGCCCTGTTAGTGTTGATGTGCATTGGTTTTCTCTTTGGTAGTTCCTTGATTAGGATATTGATTTATTCTTGATTGTTTGTCTTAATTCCTGCTTATCTGGATGTTGGGTGCTGGAGAAGATGTGTTCTGGTCTTTTTGTTTCCTACTTTGTTTTTATTGTTTGTTTTGAATGGTATATAAATGTGGTTTACCTCTGTATGTTTATTGATGGTTGATTTATCTGAATGCATCTACTTGCAGAAAAATTGTTGGAAAAATATGAAGGAGTTCTAAGCTTCCTGGAATTGTAGAATTTTTGGATTTAGTTTGGTCTAGAATGCTCATTGTTTCCCAGC